GTCTTTTATTACAGATTGATAAATAGTGCTCCTATTTCGCAATAAGAACGAATTATTTATCAAAAAGTAATCAAGAACTATCACCTAGAGGGCATCCTGCGGCACACTTACGCTCAAGCTGTAAGAGAAAATTCCAATTAGTAAAGAAATTAATTTGAAAAATTACCTTGACGTTTCGATAGCTATTTTCTGCTATCGTTTCAAAAGAACCTAAATGAACCTAAAAAAGAGTATGTTAATAAATTGTTTAACAATAGTAGGATAATACAGTATATGAAAATTCGTTCTGATAATTCGTCTGTGCAAATTGTCAGTTATAGTATTATTATTATTGCACAGACGAATTATCAGAGCGAATTTTTATATACTGTATTATCCTACTATTGTTACACAATTTATTAACATACTCTTTTTTACAAAAATTTTGAGGCGAAATACCAAAAAAGAAGTTTGTAAAAAAAACACAAAAAGATGTTGGATAAAATGGCAGACATTAATAAAGTGATGAAATAAATGACATATAAAATGGACGACAACGCTAAGAAATTTGAAGACCTGAAAACAACCGTTGAAGGCAAAGTAACATCGAGAAAGTTACTGATGGATTGGGATTCGGATGACTGGAAGAAAGTCTCATTTACTATCAAGTTAGAGTGGGTTTAAAATCTTCGGATGGGCGAGCTTTTATTGGGAGAAGACCAGGAGAATGATTCAGCCAAGCATGTGTGGTTCCCCAACTGGCTAAATAATGTTTTGGGGTGGCATTTCTTTGGAGGCCCGTACGGACCGTGTCATGATCCAAGGAAGATCATCAACTTTCCAGAAGTACATTCAGGATATTTTAGAAAACCATGTCGTACCTTTTGCACCTCACATAGACGACAATTTCTTGTTTATGGATGATAATACCAGACCGCACCGATCTTTAATCTACTTCATCTTATTTTTTGTAAAGACTCTTTGGTCTGTTTATTTCGTCTGGTCAATTTTATTGATTCTCCTGTGATATGGATGTCCAACTATCCTTCCATCTTTTCGGTGGTCTTCCGATGGGTCTTTACCAACTGGATTTCCATACGACACAATCTTGGCTATTCTTTCGGGGTGCAGTATTTCTACATGGTCCCGCCAGCATCTTCTGCGCTTTCGTCCCCATCTGATTACATCCTCCACCTTGCAGGTCTGTCTTATTGTTGCGCTCCTCACTCTATCCCGTAGTGTTGTTCTCGCTATTGACATTAGAGCCTTCATCTCTGCCGTTCTTAACATACATTTTGTTTGTGTCTGCTCGGGTCTCGATGCCGTAGGTGAGTATTGGTCTTACGCATGTTTTGTATATTCAAACTTTACTATCGATGCTCATATGTTTGTTGTTCCATATGACATCTCTTAAGCAACCTGAAGTTAACGAGTCTTTGTTGATCTGGGATTTGAGATTTAAGCCGCTGATCTCTTCAATGATCTCTTCATGATAATAATTAATATAATCAACTTTAATTCGGGTTGAATTGCCTGTGTTTAGGCAGTATACTGTTTTTATAATTCTTGTCGGAGTTCGTTTTTTCGTTCGATGGTGATAATGTCTTCCAGTCGGACACGGTCAAATGCTTTTGGTAACTCGATAACACATGCAAAAGCGGGGGTGTCGAATTCTATTACCGTTTCTTTTATTTAGCGTATGATAAATATGAGTCAGTTGTAGACCTATTTCTTCGAAACCCTGCTGTTCTCTGAGCCCCCACGATCTCTCATCGTGCACGAATATCTTAATCAGATTGGCACTCAACGTTTAGTGTGGCCAGCGCGTAGTCCCGACCTTAACGTGATTGAACATGATTGGGATCAGCTCAAACGACGTATTCGACGATGAGATTCTACTCCTGAGAACTTGGCTAAACTGGAAAACGCGGTTCTCCAAGATTGGTACAACATACCCCAAGAATTCCTTACAAACCTTTTTATGGCATTCCAAGAGGTTTGAGGAACGTTACTCGAGCTGGAGGCGGCAATACACGCTGTTGAATCGGTTAAAGACGGAAACTACCTAAATCTACCTAACCAAATCATTTGAATTTTGATAAAAGTAGGTAGGCTTTATAATAGTTTTTCTTTGAAAGCGCAAATTTTGTCTACCAGTGAATTATTGATCCCGATCTCCCGATCCCAGCGGAGAACGACCGGCACCACCGCAAGTCAAAGCCCGATTGCTCTGACGTCACGAGGACCCTGCTGTGAGTGACAACGGCATAGTCGTGACGTCAGAGCAGTCGGGCATGGCCTTGCGATGGTGCCGGTACGATCTTTTTCACGGGCGTGATGAAATGCTGTTCCTTGTCCAATCCGGTCGATCTACCAGATCCGCCCTCTAAATTGAAGAATATAACTGCTCTTACCAGCTGAGGTCAAAGTGGCATTAATGGATTTGATCTCGTACTGACTGCCTTCCTTGAAGAATCCAAAGGAAATGGTGTTGTTTTCTCCCCAAACAACCGTGAGCTGCTCACTGGAGTTGGACGGGCACACTGCCGTGTACTTGACATTTTCCGGAACATTCACCTGGATGTGGACAATGACACTGTTACTCTTTTCAAGTAGCCAATCAATACGTACCTTGGATGAAGTTTTATTGCTCAGCACTTCCAGCTGAATAGCCACTTTAACCAACAAACAGATATTATTTGAACCTGTGTAGTTCCCGGTGTAGTTGTTGAGTGCCGGCTTGTCTGCAGGTTTGGGCGTGGGTTTTGGAGTGGGTTTTGGAGTGGGTGTAGTGGGCGTTGTGGGTGGGGTGTGCGTGGTCGAGGTTGTTGGGGTTGTTGGGGTTGTAGTAGTTGTAGACTTTGGTGTAATAGTAGTCGGTAACGATGAGCTGGTTGTAGTAGGTTTTTGAGTTGTAGGCGCTGGTATAGGACTAATTGTTATATTGGGCGGTTGTGGAGGAAGAGCCACGTCTAAAAACAATAAAATATGTAAAAAAATAATTAATCAGCTTAAATTAGTGGCAATGCCAACGTTAATTCACTTCAATTGGACATCAATAAATGCTCTTGTTATAAATTTCCAGGTGCATGCCAGCTTCTTAACTTGCGTAACACGCAACCACTTTAAGAACAGGTTTTATCAAGTCAGGTCAAGGCCCGACTGCTCTGACGTCAAGAGGACCATTTCGCTGTGAGAGTGAGTGAGAGCCGACCTACTCTAATTCTGTGGTATCTTACCGGCTCGGTCTTCTTGTGAAGTCAGAGCCCTCGGGCCTTGTCTTTCGGTGGTGCCGTTTTGGACCTATTGGGCGGCAACGTTGATATATTTGAAGAAAACCCGCCTTTAAACCACGGGATTGAGGCAGATTGACCTGATTTCTATTAAACAAAGAGCAAAAAAACAGTAAAAACCGACGCCTCCGGCTAATCCGCGTCGTCGCGCAATCAATTGGCGTACTATTCGCAGCAAATTTACCACATAGAACGACACTGTTTTTTTTTGGTTAAGTTTAGAAATTTCAATGCTTTTCCAAACTTTTCAGTCTGTACAGGGTGATTCAAAATTGGCGTCATTCCTTTTAAGGGGCAATAGGGGCTCACTTAGGAGTACGAGAATATATTGGAATATTTTTTTTTTATAATTTCTAGAAGATATTAACAGTTAAAAATCGAATTACAACTTTATTATTAAGCATTATTTTGAAATGGTTCCATCTTTGATTGGAAAATTTTCATATTCAAAAAGTACTCTTCTACAAGAACTCACGCCAACAAAGGGCTAGAGATACTGCAGATTGGCTCCAGGAAGATAGTGGACGCCAATAGATGTTCGGGTTCCAGACACAGAAGAACAAGTATTGGACATAATTGCAGCAGAGCCTTCCAGGGGCACTCAGAGCATGCCCTCTGAAGTCGAAGAATCGGGGACATCCAAATGGTGGTGGAACTCGGGACTCTTAACGATGAGGGAAACGGTGAGAAAGCTATTTAACAGGGCTAGACAAAACTAGGCCTTCTGGAGTGAATACAAAACATCCCTAACGATGTATGGCAACGCCATAAAAAAAGCAAAAAAGGCTTCATGAAGGAAAGAATGCAAGGATATCGAGGATACTCCGAGCTACGCTAGACTCTATAAGAACCAAAATAGAGATAAAGAACCTAAAGACTCTAAAAGAACCACAGCAAAAAGTGGGCTCCCTGATAAAACCAGAGGGAAGATATAGAAGAACAGAAGAAGAGATCCTGGAGCTTATGCTTAAGACTCATTTTACTGGATCAATACTGGTAACAGTCGGAGAACAGGATACCGGTGGTTTTCGGTACCCGACAGCGGACACCGAAAGAACACTGGACTCTTGCCTCAAGCATCGTAAACCAGTCCAAAGTTAAATGGGCCATAAGTTCTTTCAGACGATTTAAATCACCGGGAACAGATGGTTTAGTGCCACTTCTGCTACAAGAGGGAGCCGATTTACTGGTGCCCCTTTTGTGCAAGATGCTCCGGGCCAGCCTGGACCTGGCATACCTACCAATGGAATGGAGAAAGGCGAAGGTAGTATTTATTCCAAAACCAGGGCGGGCGACGTATGCCCAGGCCAAATCCTTTCCCCCGATCAGCCTAACATCTTTCTTACTTCAAACACTAGAAAAGCTGATCGACAGGCGTATCAGGGAAGAAGTTGTTACAAGAAATCCTCTACACCACAACCAATATGCCTACCAAACGCGATACGAACTGGTCCAGAGGGCAGAAAGCTCGTTAGATCGCAAGGAAATTGCTCTGGCGGCTTTTCTGGACATAGAGGGAGCACAACAATACCTCTTTTTAGTCAATAGTCAGAGCGGTGAAAAATCGTGGAGTGGATCCTTCAATATGTGAATGTATTCAAAACACGCTGAGTTGCAGAACAGTTACTGTCGCACTCAATAAAGTCAGCGTGCGGGGCGGATGTTCGCAGAGAGGAGTTTTGTCGCCTCTGCTGTGGAGCCTGGTGGTGGACCGGCTCCTGTTGTCTCTTGTAAAGAGGGGTTTCTACGCACTGGGCCATGCAGATGATAACGCCATTGTTGTGCAGGGAAAGTTTGGAGACACTGTGTCCACCGCAAGTCGCATGGAAGAACTGACGCAACAGAACATCTACTAACAATGGTGTAACACGGAAGGGCTGAAAATTAGCCCATCCAAAATATCTATTATCGCTTTCACAAGGAAAAGAGATCTTGGAGCCCTTAGACTAATGTCTATATATATATGGAACCAAAACTCTAAGCATTTCGATACCTTTCAGAACATGTTCTAAATGAGGGGCGAGATGGTGGAGCGACTTCATCAGCTATCACAGGGGACTCCTCCGTATGGTATACGGAAGGCAGAAAAACAGCGTTGGGTACAGGCGCTGGTATAGTCGAAAGAGGAAAAACTGGGGAAAGGATTACCTTAAATCTGGGTAAAATCACTGCCGCCTTCCAAGCAAATATTCTAGCGATAACAAATTGCGCCCGGAAAATGAGAGAAAGAGCATACMCACGTAAGCACATTACCTTGCGTAACCGGAGATGAAGCCACCATAAAGGCACTTGAATCGTACACAATCAGGTCACAATGTGTGCTAGATTGTGTRAAAGAACTTACGATCCTGGCTGGGAGCTCAAACAGAGTAAAACTCACTTGGGCAGCAGAGATTGCTGCGGATCTTGCTAAGGCAGGGGCCGAGCAACCAGACCAACCAAGAACCTACTTGTGGCATATCTCATGCCCAACAACATAGAAAGTACTGGGAGAAAAGACACCGCGACTGCTTACCGCAACGCAGTTGGTGAGACCTCCACAACCAGTGCGTAAAAGTGAACTGCTAGATGTCAGCAGGCAAAAAATAAGGAGGATAGTGGCCTTTTTAACAGGACACGCCCCCTGCAAAAAACACCTCTTCAGGGTGGGACTGAGCGATCAACCGACCTGCAGGGGGTGCGAATTAGAGGACGAAACGACTCTACATATCGTGTGTCACTGCAAGTCATATGCAACAGGTAGGCGAAGACTCCTGGGAGGGGACGAAGTTCCACCAGACCAGGTCATGCGTACCCCCCTCAAGATTCTTTTGAAATTCATTGAATACACTGGGATAATGAGGGAGTAAAATACGAGGGCACAACAAGACAGAAATGACCGCGGTGCTGGGCCAAACACCACCTCGGCGGTGAGGAAAGGGTGTTAGTGGGTAAAACAGCTTAGCTGGAGTCCCAGTGTGCGTAACAGAGCATTTCCAAAACTGGTGAGACCTTCACAACCAGTTTTTAATAACAGTTAATTTTTTTACTATTTTTGCTGTACTAAAACACCGCCAGACAACACCTCCAGAGAATGACGCCTATTTTAAATCACCCTGTTTTTAATAAACTTCAATTTATTGAATATTCAGTCCAATCAATGTCCAACTGACCTGGTCAAGTTGTTGGACTGGGCAATTATCTATAGTGGAAGAATGATTCAACATCATGAACAAAGATAAGCAGCTGTTTCAACCGAAGATTCCCAGACAGTTTAGTCGAATAAATAGAGAAGCGGAAATATTTAGTCAATTAAATAAACAAGCTGTAACTGTGTGCCTTATCGAGCCGATAAGCAATTTACCATAAACCTTGTGCTTCTGATGAGTGATAAGAAATTACTGGACTTTCAGAAAATTGCATCGAACCAGAAATAGACAGGAAATTCACCAATTGGATGCCAATTTTCAGGCGATTTGAAAAATTCTCAACCTGAGCGCACTCAGCACATATGCATTTGTGCAAGGAGCGCCAGTAGAACAAAGAACTGGGCCGTCTATGCGAGGCGCGAGCTTTTCTAGGAACATGTAAAAAACGCCTATTTATCATATTGCGTGGCGGAAATCCTATATTTAACCGCATGTCAGGACGGGAAAAGCGGCAAACTTACCTACGGCAAACGCGCAAGATACGCACAGAAGAATCACCACACTTTTCAGCAACATCTTGCACTAAATTCTGCTTTAAAACCCCGATATTCGACGGAAAACTATGAGTAAGCGATATATGCACTGATCATGAAAACAAAGATGGCTGTCAGCACTGTTGCCCCAGGGTGGCCAACTTTTCAAACGCGTATTACCGTACAAGTCTAACCTCCCATATTTTAACCTTTGTTTTTACGTCTTATATGTTTCCTTCTATTTAAAGGCTTGCAAAAGCTGAGTAGAACTAAACAAAACTAATCATAAAAACTCTATCTAATCAAAATAAGTGTAAAATTTTAGTTGTTAAGTGACAAGTGTAGTTACCTAGTGTAGTATCAGGTGTGGTTACAGTTTAGCCGCCAGGGGGCACTTGTACTTTTAAACTCGCGAATCTGATCCGTGGGCGCGAGAGTGACATTCGTTTCGACGGATCAGGTACGGATAAAATTTAGTGTTCACTATTTTTACCAAAAATGTCGAATGAGGCGAAGAAAACTGAGAAAAAGCCGGGCAAAGGCCCCGACCCTCAGGAAATTGTCGCTGGATTTCAGACGTTGCGAGCCGAACAACGGAGTTTGTCAGCAAAACTCACTGAACTCCAACTGGAGGAGAGTGAGCACAGGTGGGGCCCCATTTGTTAATTGCCGCTGATTTACATTAAAGTCGTGCTTTGCCCTATCAGAGTGGTGATCGAAACGCTGAAAAACGTCCACGAGGATCGAAAATGCTACCGATCTGTGGGTGGTTTCTTGACTGAGCGCAAGGTGAAAGACGTTTTACCTGTCCTGATCCACAACTCGGAAAAACTGAAAGAAATTATCGGAAAGATATCCTTACAAATCGAGAAAAAGGGCAAGGAGATCAATGAGTATCGGGAACAGTACAACATTAAATTTAGGGGGCTGGATAATCCCAAGGAGGACGCAATTCCCACCCAGCAAGTTGGGGAGTCTTCCAGAGGAAATGTGTTGGTGTTGTAGAATCTCTGATAAAGTTTCCATTTAATATACCGTCGTCTCTAAAGCTCATTTTCCATTCAAAGCTAATTGAAGTGTACTTAGTAGTAGGTAGGTAGGTATATGAATTGATGATGACGCAGATCTGTCAGAAACATTCTAGATTTTTTACTTTCACAGCAATCATTCAACAGAAAATTCGCCGCATTTAGCATAAGAACTAGTTAGTCATAAAATATATAAATAAACAACGCTGGAAGTGTAACCTAACCTATTTTCGACCATCTATTGTCCAACGCCTTCTGTTGCAATGTCACCCAGTTAAAGATGATAATAAGTTAAATTTTCCTGAGAAAACCAGATTGTTTGTTGCACATTGACCGCTCTAGAAGACCATGTACGTACTAGTAATACTCCTGATCGCACTCCAAGGCGCGATGAGCGACTCGAAAAACTCCTCAAAACCCTTCGATCCTTTGGGCCCCCTAGTGAAATGCTCCTACTTATCCTGGGAGTTCGTGGACTGCGACGAGCCGGTTGATCATAAAGGCAACAAATCCGCCCTGGAACAGCTGGGCTACGGTTGCCTTAAGTTCGGGGGGATGTTCTACGAGAATGTGAGACGCACCAAAGTGATTTGCAGGACTTTGGAGAAGATTGAGTGCTTTGGGGATCGCACGTTCTTCAAGGAGGGCGTTCCATGCATCAAATATTCCAACCACTTCTTTACAACAACGCTTCTATACAGTATCCTGTTGGGGTTCTTGGGCATGGACAGGTTTTGTCTGGGACAAACAGGAACTGCTGTAGGAAAACTGCTGACTATTGGCGGCCTGGGAATCTGGTGGATCGTGGATATTGTCTTGTTAGTTACCAATAACTTAGTCCCCGAGGATGGCAGCAACTGGAATCCGTACGTATGACTGGAAAGGCACTAGGAAAGTCTCCCTGATCTTAAACATACACTGGGCATAGGAAGTGAAATTGGTGCTGTGATGTGAAGTGTTTTAAGAATTGTGCTCATTTTAGCAAGTTTTGTTGGAAATAATCCCTTGTGGCAATTTATTCGGCCATCCTGAGTAGATTTTCTGCAAAAAATAACTGCGTTTTGTGAGACTACTGTTTTCAAATAAATGGAACAGAAGCTTAAGAGGAACCTGTGAGAATAACACCGTTTAATAAAACTGCAGCATTTCAAAACAAGTAGAACAAAAACTGTATTGTTTGATAAAACTGTAGTTTAAAATAAATCGAACGAGATCAGAAGCGGAAGTTCGATCGCCGCCTAATAAGACGAAGTTGAATTTTTAAATAACTTCTTTGAAAGCCTAAGGGGAAGTTGAATCATTAATAAATTGGAGCATTTGAACACTAACGTAACGAAAATTTGAGAAAAAGTTGAGCACCGTTTGAAAACCATCGTGTTTCACTGTTAATAGAGCAAAAGCAAAGTTTCAAATAAGCACCAAGAGAACAGTTCTAATATTGTCCAATAAAACTAAAGAATTTTATAAGGAAAAAAAGCAAAATCTAAGCAGAAAGTTGTAATGCCATTTAATAAAACCAGTATTTTGATATAAATTAATGATGGAATAAATAAAAGAGTTTGTCTTAAGTTGCAAATGCGATGTGGGGTTTTCGGTTGCAATATGCGAAAGGTTGTGAAACGAGATTTATAAAAAATAATGCAATGTAACAAAAACTAAATGAGCATATTATTCAGACAGGAAAATAGTAGCATAACCGCATGCCACGCCCAGATTACTTATCCCACTTGTGCTAGAAGTGACAACACAGCAGAGAGTACCTCATGACGTCACACAATATAAAACAATATCTTATTTGAGCCTAGCTTGAATTAATTGTATCATGACCTAAAACTGGCCTATTTTAATATAAATTGATCAAAAAGTAGGGTTCTTTGCGGTTTTTGGTCCTTTCATCAACTTGGCATTGTTTCGTCAGTGTCACATCGTCAGTGTCACGGCGACGGTTTTGTCAGTGTCAACATCGACAAGCAAGACAGTTTGTGTTTTGCTATTTGTCAATCTTGTCTTGTATGGTGACAACGACAACAAGCGAGTTTCCGCTGTTTAGTGTTTGTAGTGCGCGGCGTTTTTCGCGGAGCTTTTTTGGAAGTTATTACCCACCCTATGCCAATGTTTCTGCCCGCTTGGGGCGTCTCTGACCCGCTTAAATCAGTTATCTCTGGTTGGCAGTTTCAAAGCATCTGCATTCCACCGTGAAATGGACCAGAGTTTGCTGCAGCAACCTTAAAAGCCCAAACCGTAGTGTTTATGCAATAACAACATATTGGGGGCCTAGTTCAAGAGGTTCGAATTATGTGCGATCAGACCGTTCAGTTAGTGTGGTTATTGCATTCGCCGTTCCGAAGTTAATGCTGCCGCCCCCATAAAAAACGGACGCAATGCTTGTTCCGGCTTCCGCTGTTATAGCCAAACAGTCGAGTTTTTCGGACGATTATGCGTTTGCCCAGCATAAACAATGACCAAAACATAGGTCGAGTTGTGCCGAAAATGAACGACAATTTCCAGTATGAAAGCGACGCAAAGTTAATCGATTCCCGAGATTGTTTAACGTACGATAATCAGACTGGTGCGTACACAAATTCGCCGTTTGAATTTGACGATTTTACGGACGAGAGGGTTTATGGCAATTACGCAGAAAATGCGGAGGTGAGCTCATCTGACGCCAGCTGTCAACCGATCGAAAGTGAGGTTAAGTCGTTGAAAGACTGGCTAATTTTGCACAACGATTTGATTCAGCAGCAAAACGAGGAAATTCTGGAAAAGGAGCATCGAATCTACGTGCTTCAGCGGGAAAATGAAATGGTAATCGCAATTAATCTATTGATTTATTACTATCGAACATGGGGCCGTCTAGTTTGACACTTTGTTTACTATTTCGCATTGTTGCCATGCATGGCATAAATTCATCATGCACACTACTTCCGTTGACCCGATTTGTTGGCCAATTATTGAAGGTCAACTTCTTGGTCCTTCGACTTTGGCAACGATTTGGTCAAATTTTCTACAGGTTTTTTTTGCTGATTGAATGACGATCCAAAGTTTTTCCACACTGAAACTCCCCAAAAGTGATGTTTAAAATAATTTAAAAATTTAGCGGACCGTTTTTTTATACCAAGTATATACATTGTGGTCCAAAAATAAGTTGTGACCATCAGCGTATTTTTTTCAAATGGAAGCGTCCATTTTTTATTTCAATTTTGAATTCTTCCTTGAATTCTAAGTATGATTACCGAGAACAACATTATCAGCAATTAATACGGAGGATTTCTTTCAGGTTTCTGTAGTCCTGAAAAGGCCGATTTATTTTAAGAATCACATCAATTTTCATTTGAGAAAATAAAGTTGAAGGTCGTAACTTATTTTTGCGTAAATCGATTTGGTATAAAAAATCGCATTCGCAACTAAAAAATTAAAAGATCCGAGCGTTTTTCCAAAAAACAGTCCGCTGCTTGGATTTGTCCGTCCACATTTTAAAAAAGGCATAAGTACATGCAGAGCAGATTTTCTTTTCTGCAGCAATAAATTCGTTTTTCAAATCAAGCAATAAAAAATATCTGGAGACCAAGATCACTAACAATTCAAATAAAACGACCAAGAAAGGCGCGAGTAGTCCATTAAGTAGTGTTAAATTAGCTAAGTTGTCCAATTTTCTAAGAGTCATTCCATGGGCCACATGGAAGACAATCAGCTGGGTTGTCCAATGTACCATTTATCAATGTTTTAGCTCAAGGAGCGTCTTTTGTGCATAGAGAAAGGAGTTCCTTATCAGCCAGAGCAGCAGCCGATCGTCGTCGATCTAGAAAACGCGATTCCAAGCAGTCCTGCGGAAGATATGACCCAAGATTCATGCACCAAATACGATCAAGAAAGCAAAGAAGACGGAGTTTCTTCGCTATTAGGTGAGGATGTGTTGAGCCGGTCTCTGGAAGCAACCAACCACCAATCAAATCCTGTTCTGGACGAGGCTGAATCTCAAACAAGCATAAATACGAACGAGAAGACGCTGGCAAATGAAAGCGAATTGAAAATTGAAGACTGTATCGGTACTGATCTGAGTGACAGTTTTCGAACGGAAAGTGATCCTACTGAGTGCGGCAAAGACTCGTTGTCCGAATACAACTTTACAGTGAACAACTTTTGCGAGTTAGATCCGATGAAAAACATTAGAATGAGCATCAGGCGGAAACGGATCAGCAGCTCGTCAGTTTTATCCCAAGACGACCAACCAATGTTGGACGAGAGCAAAACGTTAATGCGAGCGAAAAAGATACGCCTTCGTAAGTGTGGCGGATGGGTTCTTCTATAGGGATTTTGATGATGATTTCCGCTTTCAGGTGTGGGAAAAGATAGTCAAATACTGTCCACCAATGAACCCTACTGCGTTTGCCAAGCAAATGAGGATGTCGCCAACGCTGAACCGGAGGCAGACAGTCAGGGCCGAAGTGCAAACTTGGAGGCAAGTCTGAGTGGCAGAGGAATAGTGAACTGAATGAAAACAGTGGCTTTTTAATGGTTTTGTAGGTGCCTAGATGGCGTGTCAAAGTCTTTACCAGCTGCTACACGATGGAGGGCACAGAGAACTTGGACGACGAAGTGTACAACAAGCGGCACTTGAGGCTCGAGATTGATGAGCGAAGAAGAAAAAGGTTCAGTGTTTATTGTTTTTTTTGCGAATTTTTTCCAAAGCATCGCCTTGCAGATGGGATGTTCAGCGAATCAGAGAACAGAGAGTGATTGACAAATTAAAGCAGCGGCAAGAACGAATAGCCAATAACGGTTCCAAAGGGGAAAACGACCAGGATTTGTTGTACACCTTGTGGCCGAAAATGGACGATGTAAAATACGTGGAAATGGTTGACGAACTGCCAGTTTCTGCGTTCGGACATCCAATTCCGCAGGTTTTCCTGAAAGTTGGGTAATTATTAGCGATTATGCATTTCTCCACCGCTTCTACCAATCGAAAAATGTCTTTCTTCAGCAACTTTTGTTTACCGTGGCTGAACAATCCGGCTGTACTAACGAGACGATCCAGCTCGAAGCGATGTACAGTCCTTGGACGGAAACGGTCACGGAACCGAAGGTAGAAGTCGTATTATTTGAGGAGCTCGACTCGATACTGTTAGCAAAACTTGCAGACACTAATTCAGTCACTGTATGCCGGTTTTGCTAAGGCTCCTCAATTTCCACAATAGAACGTAAGAGTTTTGAAGTTATTTTTTTATTATGAACAAAGTGTGAATAGAATTTACACAGTTTACATATACAGTGTGTGTATAGTTGGGAAAAGTCTGGTTTATGGTACAATTAATTCTACAAAGGATCCAGCAACTCTCCAAACTATCGACAAAGTATCATTATTTTTGTTACACGACAGAGATGTGCAGAAATTCATAATTGCCGTTGCCGCTCTAGATGCGTAGGAAAAATGGGAACAAATTTAGCTGCTTCTTTCGAAATATACAAAGTGGCTCTTTAAGGACGAAGTACATGTTTTTATCTGATTTATCAGTACGTGATAAAATCTTGCAAAACGAGACACAGAGCTCGCACAAAGTAGACGGATATGTTCATTTAACCTGAAATCCGTGTAAAATGAGCTAAGGATTGAAGAATAAAAGAGGCTTTAATTAACAATATTATTTTCAAATGTGAACAATAAAAAACGTGCCCAATTTGCTTCAGGGTACCAACACAAATATTAAAAAAATTGGTATAAAAATCAGGTCTTACTCTTCTTATGAGTTTCTCTCTATCTTACTTACGGTGCGCTCATTGCGAGTCACCTTGAACCAGGTTAAGCGTAATTGCAGGTGCAGCGTAGTGAGGAGCGAGTTATAACGCACAGAGCGACATCAACTCAACATAGTGTTGAAACACTTCTAAAGCCAAGATTGCTTCCGCATGAAATTATAGTCAAAGAATTAAACTACAAATGAAAAAAAATTAGTTGAGATCGGATAATTGGTATTAAAGTTATAATACTTTGAATTTATGAAAAAACCCTCGTCCGCCACTATTCTTTGGAATGAGTGTCGTTTTGCTGGGTCCTTCGGAAATAATAATAAAAGACCTGCGATTTTCCGATTAAAACAGACTATTCTCTCTCGCCTATAGAGCTATTTCAGTTTTAGTATTTTTGGCAAAAAAGTGGCTCTCTATTTTCGTAAGTGTAGTTGTTAGTTTGTATCCTATTTAGCTTGCAGAATCTGTATATGCTGAGGAAATACCGTGCGCATAGATCGAAGCTTCACAAACAATCCCAGTTAATATTCCTAGGTAGTTAGGCGTCTTCCAAAACTAATCGTCGAAGGCTTGCGCGTAAAAGCTGCGAAGTTATTCGTTACTGTGATTTTACGTAGGTCTTATCTTTAGAGTAGTTTAGCACCTAAGTTTCTCAGCCGTGAACATACTCAGTGTTAGTTAGTAGGTTCTTCACTCATAATATCCCGATCTTGTGTCAAGGTTGCAACTTACAAAAAAGTTTTAGAGAAATATAGTGAATTTATTTGATTACAAACGTATTGCGTTTTTTAAAACCCTCCAGGCTGAAGGTGGTTTTAGATCAGAAACATTTTCGGTGCACAATCGATGGCCCGGACTCGTCGTACTCCTGTCTGCTGATCCACATTTGCTGGAACGTGCTGAGACTGGCCAGAATGCTGCCTCCAATCCAAACAGAGTATTTTCTTTCTGGAGGTGCAATTATTTTGATTTTCATAGACGCAGGTGCCAAGGCTGCGATTTCCTTTTGGATTCGATCAGCTATTCCTAGAAGAGATTTAATTTGGCGTAAGTAACTGCTTGCTCTTAAATACCTACTCAACAATTTGATGCGGTTACTTCTTTTATTTGATTTTATATTATTTACAAGGAAACATGTTTAAAAGCTGGTGATCAGAAATGATTCTGAGTAGACATTGGAAAAAGGTTTGAGGTCGAAGTCATTTTGTTCGGTGTGAAGTACACCCTTAACTATTGGAAAAATATTCGATTGTCGTCCCAAGTTCTTGTTCTTGCGTTAAGTGCTTTGGAGGCATTGTGCATGTGGTTCAAAACGAGTGTTACGCACTCACAAAAGTTTTGTGAGTAATAGATTTTTTGCAAATTAAGGACAACTTCGTTAACTGGGGCCTCATTTTACAACATCTCAGAAGAAAGCATTATGATTCGCCGAAAAAAACGAGTTAGAAGAAAGAGACAAAAATCGCAGGAATAAAAAGAAAATTGGCGAAAGTGACGATGAAGAAGAGGAAACTAAATGACATTCTGATGCTTCATCCAAAAACTATGTGCTTGATTTAAATCCGACATCGCATGAAGAGTTAGAAAGAGATTATCGCTYTATTATTTGTTTATGTTTTAGKATTTATTGTAATTATGTTTTAGTAGAATTTGCTTCCGCAACATCAAAGCAAAAACCCTACCGATGAAAACGAATTTGAACTGACCCATTTAAGAATTAACAAAAAAGTTAGTAGAAGTAGATTATTTCTTGCAAATTGTTTTGTTTTTCCAAAAATGTTTGTTTAATGTGTTCTTTATAATTGCTCTCAGTTTGTTTCATATTGTTTGGTTAAAAACCTCACATCTGTAATGGTGCGCGCCTCATGGTCTCTCCTGCATGGGTAACAATGAGACCATTGAAATTTTTGGCATATATTTATAACGTTTTACATTAAACGCGATTTAAAATTATTTGTGCAGTCATAAATCAGTGTGAAAGACCCAAAAAAGATATTTTATTTTCTATTATTTCCAGAGTATTAAGCTATTTGTGTTTCAAGCTTTATTTAGTGCAATTCATTTTCGGTTAATGCGTGGTTTTGCAAAAATGAGTGAGTCAGATAAATTTTCTAAAAATTGGTGAAAGAAAACACGATTTTTTGTATTTTAACACCACAAGCATTAAGAGCTCACATCTCAAAAAATGTTTTGATATTTTCACTCATCGTTTATTTACCGAGTAGTCTTTAAAAAATCAACTGTTTAGTCTTGCAGTGATAAATTTGTCTCTTGAACCCATTTTTAAAATATAGGGTTTAGGCTGAAGCGTAAATTTCGCAGTGGAAAAAATAATTCAATATACCGGGTTGCAAGGATGAACGAAACTTTCGAAAGTAATCTTCACTTTGTTAAAAATGTTTCAGAATCACAGATTTCGGGTAACAATTCGGATTTAGGTGATTTTCATGCAACCCTGTATATAAAATTTTTGTCTTAAATGATCTATGAAGTTTAAGCTTCAACATAAGCTCTAGACCGTGAAACTGAAGATTTTGGTATTTTAATTTGGTTTTTTTGGTCTTGCGTTATTTGGTTTAACTTAAAAATTTTGTTGGGGCCCAAAAACCTTTTTTTGTCCAACTAAAAGCATGCCAAACTTTGCAAAATTTTGCATTTTTTATTTGTCGCCCTGCAGACAATCGGGGACCTTTTTTCTCAATTATCCTTTTAGGTCCACCTGTTTTCTTTCTGGATTTACGAATAAAGCAACGCATCCTTAAGTAATATAAATAGGTCAGAAACGCGCCATTTGGAGGTGCGATCAAGTACATTGATGCCAAATTTCCTATTTAGTTTTTGGCGAATATTTCAGTTTATCGCAATTATTATTGTTTCTTTGTGCTTTCTACATATTTCTAGGAAACATCTCCAGAGGCATGGCACTAATTTTTAATCACCGCGTATAATTGGATCTCACCAGAAGACCGAGCTGTCGTCATAATCATGAACAAGAGCATAAAAAAGCGGTTTCGGAATAGCTGCTCATAGACTAAAAGCTACCCAGATGCTCAATATCCTAATGGAACATTTATAATTCGATTCGTTTTAAAGAAACAAATTTGCGAAAATTTAGGAAACAATAAAATTGCAAAATTAAAAATATAYCAGCAGMACTTTGGCTAGTTTTCTATTTAATCTAGTCTTGAAAGGACAAAAGTTTWAAAAAAGAACAAAAGGACAAAAGCTGCAACGTTAAAAGGGGTTGCTTGAGYAGCATTTTTACCTGGAAACATCGTACTTCCTCCTGAAAGCACCGTGTTGGCGTACAAATCTTTACGAATGTCCATATCTGACTTCATGATGGAATTGAAAGTCGTTTCTGCTATTCCTGGAGTTTCCATACCTGCAAAATTGACGCAAATCTGCTAAGTTTATGCAACTATTCAATCGCCGGGCATATACAGGGTGGTTCACTAAGAATGCGAAATCCGGCAACGATAAGAACTAATRCGAAATAAAGTTATTTTCTTGTGAAAAGGACGATCTTTATTAGGTTTATTTAAACACCAGTGGCAAAACTCCAATATTCTCACATTATCCCCAGGGTGCAAATAATGGGAGATTTTATCAACCTAGAGAAAATATTTTGGATGCCAAATTTCTTKSTCCRAWTTCTTGCCCCARTTACGATTTTTCTAACRAAGTAGATTTTTGYTCCTAAAATTACCCAGTTYTTTTAGAGAATAAAATCAGGGTGTGTACTTAAGACCAGAAGTGAAAACTTCCCCATAATCGCCGGCAAATTGYAATGCAAATGCAATTTTTTTAGATTGAAATATACAGGGTGTTYMATTAAAAATGAGTTCAGGTCCGATAACTWTTTTATCTGAGCCTCTGTATACTTGTTATTATTCAACAATCATTATAAAGAAACTTTCGCATATAATATGTTTTGCATCTCTTTTGTCTAAGAAAATGCAGGGTCATTTTGAAATTGACATGGCAAAAATGTTCAAATTTTAATTGATTTGACCCAAAAAGACACCTTTTTCGATACCACTCGCAACAACACCCTATAAAAGTATAAAGGGCAAAACAGCCTCGTTCTCACCCAGTAATGAAGGCTGAAACATGGATTCTGGACATCGGAACCGTTCATTTCCCAGTGTAATAATTTGGCCGTCGGGCAGTTCGTAGGACTTTTCGAAACAACTGGACACGCTCGCAACGGCCAGATCCTTCTCAAAGTCCAGCGACACAAAGCAAATCTTCTCCTAAAATCCACTTGTGTAGTCGGAGGACTATAGGAAACAATTGCACATGCCTTCAAGTCCCTGATGATCTCCCTTTCGGCTGTTGTTCCGAAACTGTAGCCTCGTTCGGTCAAAATTTTCATCAGATAGTCGGTCATGTCGCGTCCTGCTAGATCTAGGCGTAGAATAGCATGCGGCAAGGCATAACCTGCCATTTTTGTTCAAAAAAACAAAATTGGTTGAGTAAGTGAGATCCTAGCTTTATACATCTCAAAAGGAATGATCCGATATTTGAATCAGTATAGCTACCTTCATAGATTGGGACAGTATGGGACACGCCGTCGCCAGAATCCATGACAATGCCGGTAGTTCTTCCGGAAGCATAGAGCGAAAGAACGGCCTGAATAGCCACATACATGGCCGGCGAGTTGAACGTTTCGAACATAATTTGCGTCATTTTTTCGCGGTTGGTTTTCGGGTTCAATGGGGCCTCGGTCAGGAGCACTGGATGCTCCTCGGGCGACACCCGCAGTTCATTGTAGAAGGTGTGGTGCCAAATCTGCAAACAGCGTCATCTAAGTGGAAATTTTGGTTGTTCATGCAAAAATACCTTTTCCATGTCGTCCCAATTGTTGACTATCCCATGCTCGATCGGGTATTTCACTGTCAGCACTCCGCGCTTGGTTTGGGCCTCGTCCCCCACGTAGGAGTCTTTCTGGCCCATTCCCACCATCACTCCCTAACATGTCGGTTATTTTAAATTACGATTTAACACTTACACAAGCTTAAACACTAGTAGATCTTATATATATTCGGGTCTATCGCGTTGTGCACCTTCCGGTTCCTCGCCTCCATTGTCTTCTATCCTCCTATTTCCCTGGTTGTGGGGTTTCTCCCAACATGGCTTTTTGCATTCTTCGGTCTTCCGCTTCACCTTTTTTTCGCTTGGTATCCGCTTCAGAACTTCTTTAGGGATTCTCTTTTCGCCCATTCCCTCAACATGTCCATACCAGACAAGCTGTCTTCGTTGTATTTCTTCAGTTATGTTTAATTGGACATTCACCCATGGCCTCGTTCGTTATTTGTTGACACCAAAAGTCCATTTCCTGGTTGATCCTCAATTTCTCGCCCCCATTCCATCAAGCTTTGAACAAGGTTTTCGAAGAAGAAAACGAAAACTTATAAAAACCTGAAGCTTCCAGACACAAATTTGCAGAAACTGTTTACAAATCAGCAGATATCCGCCATAAAGTCCACGCAATATGTTGTAATTTCAGTAGAACAACAGCAACAACAATTAAATCTTTTAAAAACCTGACACTTTCTGAAAATTTGGGACCATTGGGACCATTGAAATTGTACAAATAAACCCTGAAGATGTTCAGACTACACAAAATGGAAATAACAGAAAATGTGTTCAATAGCGCAAAAATTTGTAGGAGCATAACGACAAGTTGAAAAAAACCCGATGCTTCATGGGATAGAAATATTCTGACTGGAAGCAATTCACTCCCGAAAGTCCTCTTCTCAATGAAACGCCTAGAAAAATTATAACTCGTGGAAAGCTTGATGGTGCAACTGAAACTGCAAAGTCTAGCCTTTACTTTAGCTACAAAATTTTAGTTTTAGCATCAAAAGCTACCCACCAAACAAATTTAACAAAACAAAATGCTTGTAAAAAACCTGAGCCTGAAAAAGTTTGACGCTCATCCTACACAGAATTAGAAAATTTTAAGTGGGCCAAAATAAAAAAGCTGAGAAAAAGAAAACAATCAGATCGTTAACTGTTGATTTTTCAATAAAACATCTCTTCGCAAT